CAGCAGTAAACTACCGGGTTTATCCAATCCAGTATGAATAGTCATCAAAGCCCATGCCCTCCCTACAGAGTGTCAGGATGGCCGAGTGGTCTAAGGCGCCAGACTCAAGCTTTGCTTCCCTGACTGGGGATTCTGGTCTCCAGATGGAGGCGTGGGTTCGAATCCCACTTCTGACACATATCTTTTGGGCTTAAGAGCACTGGCTGCTCTTTCTACACAAAATAACAAATAAAATATAAAAAAAATCTTCTGGAAAATAAAACATGTCAGGTGGGAAGAGAAGCAAACGGGGACAGGGAGGGGAAGGAGACAGATCATCAGACTGTACTGTAGACAGGGTCAAGAGAACCAATCAAAATGGAGAGAACCCAGATATAAATGAATAAAGACACGGGACTGTGAGCAAGAGGCCATGCTAGGACATACCCAAACCTTCCGAAATAGAAAAAGAAAAATTTTAAATGTAAAACACATTCGCTCTTCTAATAGTACATCTTTTATTGACAATTTCATACATATAAACAATGCATCTTGATCATATGCACCCCAACTTCCCCTTCTAGTTCCTCAGGAACCTCACCTTCCTCCTCTCACTACCCCCCGCCCCAGGAACCTCAACACACCTCCTCCCTGCTTCCCGTCAACTCCAATTTTTACTAATAATCCACCCAGTCAAACTAGGCTCTCCCGGTTGGAATGTGGACTGAACTTGCTGACTTGATCCTGTGCAGGTGAACACAGCTGCAGTGAGTTCATGAGTGTAATGACAAAATCAGGTGCCAAAGTACATTGATTAATTGATTGATTGATTGTATTTGTGTTCACACATGGAGGTCTGGGTACAACTTCCGGGACGGGGCGGGGGAGGGGGGGGGCTCTTCTTCCATCACGTGGTTTCTATTGATGATCAAACTCAGCTTGCAGAGGACCTGGGTTCCTTTGATTTTCTCTAGGAAAATCTGTAAGTTTAAAAGTAACAAACCAATTAAAAAATAGGTTCTTAGCTGGGCGTGGTGGTGCACGCCTTTAATCCCAGCAGAGGCAGGTGGATCTCTGTGAGTTCAAGGCCAGTCTGAAGACTTATGCCTTTTTTTGGGGAAAAAAAAAAAAAATTTAAAAAAAAAAAAAAAAAAAAAAAAAAAAAAAAAAAAAAAAAAAAAAGTTCTTCATCTCCCCCCAGCCCACACCGTCCACCATAGAGACAGGATAATGAAAACGAGGACAGGTCAATATTTGGATGCGTGGGAGCACAGCCTCTCCTGCCTTGGAGGAGAGTCCCTGTCCAGGTTGGAGGGATGAAGTCAGCTCAGGGACAGTGGTGGGAGAAAGTTGTTCAGATTTTTAACATGGATTTTATTCCCTTGTGTGTTACTCCAATAACTCCCCTCAACAATGCATAAGGCTCCCTTTTCTCCACAATTTTTTTTTTTTTTTTAGTTTTTTGAATTTTTTTGAGATAGGGTCTTCCTATAGCCCTGGCTGGCCTGGAACTTGCTATGGAGACCAAGCTGGCCAGAGATCCACCTGCCTCTGCCTCCGGAGTGCTGGGATTAAAGATGTGTGCCCCCATAGCCAGTTTTGATAATACCCAGCCCTCTGGCTAAAACCTCAGTGTGGTTTTCCTTTCTGCAATGACCAGTGGCTGTGAGCATTGTTTCATACACTGTTTGCCCATTTTAATGCTTCCTTTGGAAATAATGCTTATTCAGGGTTTGTCCATTATTTATCATCTATCATCTACCCTACCTACCTATCTACTTACCCACCCTACCCTATCTATCTACCTATCTATCTATCATCTATCTATCTTCTATCAATCATCTATCTAATCTACCCTATCTATCTATCTATCCTATCTATCATCTATCAATCATCTATCTAATCTATTAACCTATCATCTATCATCTATCTTCCATCATCTACCATCATCTATCAATCTATCTATCTATCTATCTATCTATCTATCTATCTATCTATCTACCTACCTACCTACCTATCATCTATCTTTCTATCTTTTGTCTTTTTGAGACAGAGTCTTGCTGTGTAGCCCAGGACTGGTCTTCAACCCCCTTCCCTTCTGCTTCAACCTCTGGAGTACTGGACTTACAGGTGTGCATCAACGTATCCAGCTCTTTGCCCATTTTAAAACCAGGATGACAGACCTCAGTTCTGCAGAAGGTGAAATCAAGGACAAGATAGGCTGCAGCTGTCACTTGAAAACAAGACAATGTTTGGACATTGGCAGAAGACCGCCTCCCAGAGTCCAGGGCAGAACACTGCCTTGGGGTAGTAAGAAAGACAGGGGATGGGCTTGTGTTTTCCTTTCTCAGGGACTGGAGCTCTGGGAAGGAGTTTGGTTAATAACAGAAAAGGAAAACAAGCTTTACTTTGAACTTTGCCTGATTTGTTTTGCACGCTGTATCCTTGGCTGACCCTGCTCCTTAGGTATAAAGAGCCACTCTTAGAATTAATCTTACTCTTGTTGAGTCCTTTGCCTTCTCTCATCTCACTGTCCACCAGCAGACCTGAATCTCTACACCAGGTCACTGGTGCGTGTTGTTTGGTTTTTCTATTGAGCTGTGTGAGTTCCCTGTTTTGTGGAGGACCCATTATCTGGAACGTGTGCATCGGCTTCCTCCCAACCCGTGGATAGCTTTCATTCTGTTGTTTCCCTTACTGTGTAGATTTTCTGTTGATGTCAGTTTACCTTTTATTTTGTTGTTTTCACTTGTTTTTACTTTTTACTTTCAATTTTGTACAAGTGTTCTGCCTGCATGTTTCTATGTATGCCAGTGCACCACATGCATGCAGTGCTTGTAGAGGCCAGAAGAGGGCATAAGATCCTCCTGGAACTAGAGTTACAGGTGGTTATGAGTTGCTGTGTAGGTGCTGGGAACCCAGACTGGTACTCTTAACCACTGAGCCATCTCTCCAGCCGTTCTTGACCATCTGATGACATCCAAAACATCATTTCAAAGAGACCCCTCGGGTCAGGTGAGTCCTCTCCAGGAGCTCTGAGAATGCTTGAGAAAGCAGATTAGCACCAAACCCAAAGCTACTCAGTTTGCAAATGAGACTCAAAGGAGCACCCAGCACTGTAGGAGAAGGTCCTGAAGTGTGTGACTGCTTTTTTTTGGGGGGGGGCACAGTTCTCTTAACAGGCAACAAGCATACACTATGAGTCAGGCCAGTATTTATGCTAAATATCTAAAGGGAAGTGCAGAGGTTAGACTTCATTGAGGGCTTGGGGTTATAGAGTAGTAAAGAGTCCAGGGTAACTCCAGTGAGCAGAGTTGAGGTTAGCCCTAAGAAGATAAAATCTATTTTTGGGTTTGAACTTCTTCACAGAGTGGAGTTAGGGCTTCTCTTTCCAGCCCCTCCTCCCTCCATGACCCGCTCCTTGGGGACGTCACTCTCCCTGACCTGATTTTTGTTATTCCTGGTGGCAGCTGCTCAGAGGAATGAGAAAACTAAGAAGCTATCTCTGGATTATCCCTCAACCTGAGTTCTAGACATTCAGGGTGCCCATCAGGGAGGCTTCCCAGAATCCTGCACACCTCAGATAGGAAGTGGGAAATACTAGGGGTGGCATCTGATTGTAGGGAGAGGGAATGAAGGGAATGGAAGCCTATGAGAGACAGAAAAACAGACCACTACTTTTCTTTTTTCTTTTTGGCCTTTTTGAGACAGGGTCTCCCTGTAGCCCCAACTGGTCTTGAAATCACCATGCAGACATGACTGGCCTTGAACTCACAGAGATCCACCTGCTTCTGCCACCGGAGTGCTGGGATTAAAGGCATGTACCACCATGCCCGGCTGTACTACTTTTCTTGTTTCAGGAAGGCTACCTTTGCTCTGGCTCAGTTTCAGAGGCTACAAGTCCACCATGGTGGCATGGGTACAGTGGTAGAAGCCAGCTGACTGGTCACATCACTGTCATGCCCAGTCAGGAAGCACAGACAGAAGAACACTGGTGCCCAGCTCTCCTTTTTATTCACTCTGGGACCCCAGGATGGAATGTGCAGCCTGTATTCTGGGCAGGTCTCTCTTCAGTATAACCTCCCTGGAAAGTCCTCACACACATGCTTAGAGGTGTGTTTCCATGGTGATTCTAATTCCAATGATGTTCACGATGGAGATTACTCATCACACAGACTAAGGCACAGAGAGCTAGAAATGAAGATATTTAGAGAAGTGGAGGGAGGCTGAGAAAGTGAATAGTGAGAGATGAGAGAGGAGGAGGGAGGGAGAGACAAGGTAAGGAAGGAGAGAGTAAGGGGGGGAGCGGGGAGGAAAGAGAGTAATTTAATGAGGAAGTAGGATACATGGGAGAAACAGAGGCTGAGACAGGTCAGGTCTGGAGAGAGTCACTTTCAGCAATGAGTCCAGTTCAGGAGCCGGCAGGCAGAATTCAAGCCGGATTCTGATCAGGGAGGAAAGGACCCCAGCATGGGGAACCACATGCCCCTGGCCCTGAGCATCCACAAGGACAGGAATCATTTGCCTGTATTTATAATCTGCTCTGTGACAAAGCTTCTGGTTGGACTGAGGGTGTCACAGAATAAGCCAGCAGCATACAAAACAGGCACTGAACCCTGTTTCTGGAACTTTCTCCTTCCAAACTGTCGGATCGCTCTCTGACAGGTATGGCACAGGAAGAGAGGCCAGGACCAGCCTGTGTTCCTCTCTTAGGGGCTGAGCAGGATGGTGAGTGTCGGCGACTCAAAATCCACGCCAAGTCAGGAGTCTTGTCGAGGCAGGAACTCACTTTATTGCGTCAGGCCTTACCTTATATATAGTTTAAACAAAAAGGGGTGTGGAAAATGGAAGGGCAAAGGTGTATGTCATCTGGGGCAATGGCTGTGAGTCACTGGGAACTGGCCACACCAGCTGTGATTGGGGAGAGGTAGTCCGAGGTCGGGCCCTGCTGAGTCACCTCTGCAAAGAAGTGACCGGCCAGAGACAGGTCACCAAACTTTAGACAGGCTCAGGAAGTTACAATAGGCCTCGTCGTAAGTTATGCCACAATTATGAGGGTCCTGGAGACCCAACACAAACCAGCTGTTTTCCTTCGTCCTGTGAGGAAATCTGCCAGGGCTGCAGCGGCCATGCCAGGAGAGGTAAGGGTCTGGGCTCAGACCCTCCCTCTGTTCTGCCTCTCCTTTGCCTGCTGGAGCCAGGCCTGCAGCTGCTGGAAGATGCCCTGTGGAGAGGTGGGAGCACTGTGCAAGTCAGACCCCAGCACCGTAGAACGAACATGCAAATAAATATGCAAATGTAAGTGTAGCGGACTCAGAGCCTTTTCTCTCGTGCTTTTATGTGTATGAGTGTTTTGCCTCATGTATGGAAGTACACATGTGTCATGCAATGCACAGAGGGCATCATATACCCTGGAACTGGAGTTACTGATGGTTGTTAGCTGCCATGTGGGTGCTAGGAACTAAACCTGGGTCCTCTGAAAGAGCTCTTAACCACTGAGCCATGTCTCCATCCCCCCAGAGCCTTTTCTTTTACCTGGCGCCCCAAGCGGAGGCTGGGAGAGTCTGAAGGCCTCTCAGGAGCCATGTCCAAGCAGTGGGAGGCATTAGGGATAAGAAGGGCAGGCTGGGAGGGTCCCAGGTCCTGTGTTACACTCAGTACATGCCAGGGGTCTGTGTCTCCTGAAAGACAGGGAGGATGAGGCGCTGAACTGGGGGCAAGGCAGTCACTGCAGAGCCAGGTTCTGATGGAACACTCACCATTAACAAACAGCACTTGGGTGGCTCTGGGGGTCTGGCCACCATAGTAAGAGTTTGTCTGGGCCACAGCCTGGGCAACAGATGCCACTGAGAGACCAAACACTTGTTGACACAGATCTAGCTGGAAGGGAAGTACTGGGAGCTGGGAGAAAGGGCACTGAGGCCCCTCACAGGTGACATCTGTGGGGAGATAGTAGCTCTGGGCGTGGAGAATACACACAGCCATGCCCCTGCTCTTCTTCAGTAATCATTTCACTGAGGAGCAATCCTGTACCTAGGAAGATTTCTCTGCCTTTCATGTGAAAGTCAGATTGAATAAGTCTAAGCCTGGAGACCAAGAGGCCTGGGATCCAGACTTTAGTGTGCTGGGCCTCCACCAGTAGAGGAAGTTAAAAAAGAGGACTAGAAAGCTAGGATACAGAGAAAGAGCAGGACTCCTGATTGACAGGACACCTGAGCAATGGGGAAGGAGGCATGTAAAACTAGCTCAGGTTTCAAGCCCAGTAACTGGGCAAAAGGGAGACACCAAAAGACACCCAAGTGTGTGTGTGTGGGGGAAGCCAGGAGAGGAAGACCACTCATGTGGAGGCTGGTTGTGAGCAACATGTCACACCGAGTTGCCTCTCCAGCCAGACACCAACAGGTTAGATAAGGCCTAGGAGTTGGGTTAAAGGATCATGAGTTAAAGGACCATCTGTTAAATGATACATGCTTTGGGCGAGGGTTAGGCCTGGCACTCACAGAAGCCAAACTCTGTGCATGTCTGGTACAACCACTGCCGGTCACCCACACCAGACACGTGGGGCGTGGTGGCTCTCAGCTGAGCCACAGTTTCTTCCCGAGAAAAACTTAAACACCTCTGGCCCACGCTGCGAGTTATAACCTAAGAGACAGTAAGTACGTATTTACATAGTTCATAGATACATCCCTCCTCTTCCCCTAAGCCAGGGCCCACAGCCTCTTAGGGCCAAAAGTGAGAAGGGTGTTTCCAGATTTTCCTGAGAGTCGAGTCAGAGGAGGTCCATTAGAGGAGGTCCCGGTAAATAAATAACCAAGATCTTATCACGGGTGACCTCTCCGGCAAATGTTAATCTTACAGCTAGCTGTCTGCTCTTCTGTAGCTGGGGAACTAATAACGGTTATCGCCTGAGCATTTAATGAAGTCGGGAGGCATTCTCAGAATCCTTCCTCCAGACCACGCAAGAGTGAGGCTGGATTAGCTCTGGATGCTGGAGGCCCCAATTCTAAGACTCAGATCCCAGAGCTACTTTTTTGCGTCTTTAAATACTGAGCACTTAACTCTGCGCCAATAGACAAAAGGGATAATATCCGTGGTCTCTAACATTTGTATACTGCGTGTTTAGCACCCACCGGATTGCTTAGTACTTTCTCATTCCACCGCTGGGACTTCAACCGGGTGAGGCATGCAAGCCTCATGTTACAGAAGACTAAGTTTCAGAGGGGCCTGAGCTCTCACAGTGAAGGTGGAACAGGAGCCCTTGGGTCAACTGGCTCCCTGTATGCATATGTGTGCGTGACTGTGGGCGCGTATGTATACGTGCGTGCATGTATGTGCACGTGAACATATGCATGTGTGCATGTGTATGTGCCTGTTGCTGACCTGCACCGCCCGGCGAAGCCCGCGGTAGGGCGTGTGGTAGCTGTGGTTGCCGTCGCCCTCCAGGAGGAGCCCACAGAGCTGCCGCACGCTGAGCGGCGCGCCCGCCTGTCCGTCGTACTGCACTGAGCCGCCCACCAGGGCTTGCAACGCCCCCAGCAGCTCCGCCTGGTCTTCCGGGCGGTCCAGGGATGCGCAGGCGCCCAGTTCCGCCCGCAGCTTGGCGCGAACTCCCGGGCCTGCGCGCAGCCGCCGCTCTACCTCCTGGAAGGCTGCGGACGCCGCCGCCCGGCACTGCGGGGACCCACAGCCACGTCCGCGGAAGGCCTGGGTTTTCCTTCCCCGGACCCGCGTCCTCCCTCCCGGCCTCCGTGTAGTCCTCGGCCTCCCATTTTACTGCGGTTCTAGACCGCTCCAGAGGACGCGGGACCCAGCGCTCGCCCGCCACCCAGCCCTCTGATGGATCTTTCTTCCCACGGCCCCGCCCTCCCGTGGCTCCTCCCTCCCATGACCCGGCCCACTCGTGGCCCCGCCCTCAAATGGCCCGCCCTCCCATGGCTCCTCCCACCCACGGC